TGTGTGTGTGTGAGAGAGAACGTGTGATTGTGTGTGTGTGTGAGAGAAATGTGTGATTGTGTGTATGTGAAAGTGTGTCTCTGTTTGTGTGCACACAAGTATGTGTGTGTCTGTCTGTGTTTATGTAAGAATGTATGTATATGAGTGTGTGTCTCTATGCATCTGAAAATGCATTTGTGTATGTGAGAACGTGTCTCTCTCTATTTGTGTGCGTTTATGTGAGAATGAGAGAGAGTGTGTGCATGGCTAAGAGTGCGTGTGGCTGAGAGTGTGCACGCATGTGAGAGTGCACGTGAGACAGCATGTGCATGTGTGCACGTCACTGTTTGTACCTTTGTGAGAATGTGTGTCTCTATGCTTGTATGTGTAAGAATGTATGAATGTGTGTCTGTAATCTGTATGTATGTGAGAATGTATGTGGGAATGTGAGAGTGTGTGTTTCTGTCTCTGTGTGTCAGAGAGAGAGAGAGAGAGGGAAAACATGTGTATGCAAGGGACAGAATGTGAAAGAGAATGCGAGACAGAGAGTGTGAGAGAGACCGAGTGAGAGAGAGTGCACGAGACAGCGCATGCGCAAGAGACAGCGCATGCGCAAGAGACAGCAAGCGCGAGAGAGTGCTTATGTGACAGTGCGTGAGGATGTGAGCGTGTGTGTCTATGAGCATATGTCTGTGATTAAGGTAATTGAAACGATAGCGACGTCACATCTTTGAAGTGAAGCAGCATTGGCTTTAGTGACAGGACGGAGCTTGAGGAAACATTCAGAATGGGACATATTGCCCATCAAGCTGTACTACACATCGAGTCCCAGCATTTTAGTGATTAGGTGGAGACATGGCAGAGAAAGAAAGAAAGAAAAGGAAGCAAATCCTGCTCTCTGTATCCCACTACCATGTGGGACATCCTGCTCAAAATGCCCAAAGGTTTCCAGGTTGAGAACTGAATTGTTCAGTTGGAATTTCAGGCTGAGTAGATGTGACCTCAAACCAAGGGACTGCCAACAATGATGGCCATTTGTATCAGCTGCAGACTTAAAGACACATTCCATAACATTCAGCAGAAATACGTTTATTCGAGAAGGAAGAGTTCTAGGAGAAGGATGTGGCTAATTAAGGAAGTTAAAAATTGAAAGAAAATTGAAAGAAAATTGAAAAGAATGTGTATCACTCAGCAAAGTTTAGTGACAGGATAGAAGGCTGAGTAGGAAATGGAAAAACAATACTATAGAAACAGCAAAGAATTACTAGAAGAATGATAAGGAGGGAGAAGTTAAGAGTACAAGAGAAAGCCAGTGAGCAATATAAAATCAGATGGGAAGAGTTTCTACACTCTATCACAGGTAGTTAAAAAGTAGAGTAAGTAAATTGAGCTTTAAACTTAGTGAGCTTATCTGGGGAATTAATAATGGGAAATAAGCAAATGGCAGATGAATTAATTTATTTTGCATCTATCTTCACTGTAAATAATGTCCCAGAAATAATTGTAAGTGAGGAAGTGAAAGGAAGAGAAGAACTTAAAACAATTACAATCACCAAGGAAAGGATACGGGAAAAAAATATTCGAATTGAAAGCTG